ACTCAAAGCATCAGTATGACCGCAATGGCCAGGCTCGGATATCGAAGCTGCCCGAGGCAGCCATTCCCCAGGCTCCTGTGGTCAGAAGCCAAATACTCAAAGCATCCTAGAGCATGCCCAATCACCGGCGCTTTGCGCCCTGGCAGACCTGATCTCCTGCAGGCTCAGTTCCACTATGACATCGAGCCGCCACTTGGCAAGGGAGCTGCATTGCATCCGTCAGTTGAGACCCTTTCTGAGAATTCTATCCAGCGTTCAACGGCCTGCAAAACCTGCTCTGGTTATTGATTCTTGTTTCTGCGCAAGCGCACACCCACCGCGCACGTACATGCACGCACACGCAGGCATACGCACGCACATGCACGCACACGCACGAACACGCACGCACATGCACGCGCTGGACAACATTTGTGGCCGCTGTGGACTACTTGTCAAGAACATCACATTCCGTCATTCACACCCATGGACCGAAGTTTCCAGTTCTGTATTTCTGGATGCACACACGCGCATGCCCCCCACACCCCCCCCCCACACACACACACATACACACATACACACATACACACATACACACATACACACATACACACATACACACATACACACATACACACACACACACACACACCGCGACCGTGTGGTCCTTATGCGAGTTGCTGTCAAAGACTTGAGAGGCCAAGTTCAGCTTCAGTTCGAGCCGGAGCCTTTTCACTCGGTTCCCGAGGTTTTCTATCCACGTGAAGACGGACGAGAAGAAATGGCCCCTTTGAGAATCGCTGTCACGATGCTGCCATATGCATCTGGAATCTTGCAGCCATCGCCAAATGAGCGGATTGCAACATGCTCGTCAGAATCATGGCCACCTGGGCTCAGCCGATTAGCCATGTCCCCTTTAGCATTTTTTGGTGGCATCTAGTCTAGAACATTCGAGAACGACTATCTGTTTCTGTGATATGCACCCTGCGCCGAGCACAAGCTGACCATGTTTTGAGTCTGTGCACAGCATTCGTATCCAAACAATCTCACCAGCTCGACTTCTGGCACTGCCTTCGTGCAGCCATGAGTTTGGGACTCAGTGCAGTTCTAGTGCCAAGTGTACCAATGCGACTGTTATGCCTTACCAGGGACGACGTCGATGGATATCGGCAAGGCCTTCAGCCTCCGAAGCCTAGTCCTAAGGCTCATACTGACATGATGTAACTGCAGGCGAACTCCAGAAGTCTTGCCGTTGAGGCTACTCAGATACCGCACTCCGGGATTACAACGTGACCCAGAGCCAGCTGCAAGCCTGCAGTTTACGAGGCTGTCATGAAGCTTCTCTGGAGCTGTTGCTTTCCTTTTTTAAAATCAAGGTCTTCATTCTCGAAGATGCCCGGCCGGGGCCAAAGGGGAGGAACTGATCAACTGGCTAGGCAATGCTGCATCACATCGCCTCAAGCAATGATGTGTGGGTGTTTTCTGTCTGGTAGTGGCCCTGAAAATGGCAGAGGTCTGACAGACTCCTGGGCTGTGCTTGACACTCGACTGCAGACTTACAATGACTTACAGCCATCACACCATCATCGAAAGACAGACACTGCATGATGCATAAGCCAATCTCGGACAGCTCGAGTCAAGTCATCCAAAGCTCTGCAAACGCGTAGAGACCAGCTGAAAGGATATCACAGAGAAGGAGCCAATGGTCAAAGCGTTGCGAGGGAGTTCAGCAGGGTGCCGAGTGGGGAGTACCGCTCATGGTCTGGCCTTCAGTTGCAAAGATGGGATGCGCTGGCCAAGATCAAGTTCGGCTTCACCAAGCCGAACCTCAACTCAACGAGTAGTGCGGGGCCTGGAAAGGGAGCTGCCCTCTGGGCCATCGGATGGTCTTGCTTTCTCAGCCTATTGTCATCTGGGAAGCCGGCGTGGTTGGGTGAAGTATACGATTACCAGATGGCCCTTCTACGTTGTTTTGATGCTGCCATGATGTCAATGTCGCAATTGAAGTTGTCTCTGTCATCTTCGAATGTTCCCTGCTGGTCCTCGAGATGTCAAGCCTTCTGTCTGCTGATGTGAGGAATTGACTTCCGGCCCTTCAGCAAGGCAGAACAAGGCCATGGACTGCACATGTGCAGAGAAGACGAAAGACAACTTTTAATGCTAGGAAAGTCTTTTGCCTTGCCTTGCCACCTTGGGCCGCCGGGCGGTTCTTTTTCTCTGCATCTCGAAGGAGCTGCTCAAGGGGCCATGAACCCCGCTGTGCAGAACTTACAGAATCTGCACCTGTTTGCAACCGTTCGCCGCCAGCGCAACGTGGGCCTCTTGTATGCACCTTGCGTCGCTGCCTGTGCGAGGCCAAGGCAGACCTGCGAGCAGTGCATTACCGTCTCGGTCCGCATCCCAAGAGGGCTAGTTGCGGCGAGTTCGTCACGCATCTCACTGCTCCCAAGTCCAAGGTCATGAACGACAAGTTAGATCAAGTTAGCTTGAAGGCTTTGACGAGTTCTTTACGAGTGACAAACAGAAAGGGTGCGGTGATTCCGAAACTTCATCAAAGGAGCCCAAGGTATCAGCTGCGCAGAAGAGGAAAGCTTGAAAGCGGCTCCGCAGAAGTCGACAGAGAAGTTTAGCAGTTGGCTGGTACCCGAAGGTGCCATCCTTTCCCTCACAGACTCAAGACCTGGTTCAGAAAAGGCTCGGCGCCCCACTAGAACTCAAAGAGCAACAGGGTTTTTTTGGCCAAAGGAGCGTTTTCTCGCTTCCCCACATCTGCCATCTAGAATCCAGAGCTTTGGTCGCAGGCACGTTGGTTTCAACAAGAACCGTTCCCGCCTTGAGAAAAGTTTTGCCTTAAGCAGGAACTCCTTACGACACGTGCCGACGCCCACACCCGAGAGCATTGCCAGGTGAAGATGGACCAGGGCGGGTGAACTACGAGCCTCGGTTTGCAGTGAAATTTGACTTTGCAATGGACCTTCCATTCTTACAGCGCCTCGGTGTTTGGTGCGCTGCTACTTCTCTCTGAGGAGTGGTATGAGTCGGAGTTAGACCGCTGTGCCAAGCCTGGGGCCCGGAGCAGCGGATGCCGTCTTTGTGACATGACGCAGATGGGTCAAGATCTACCTCAGCAACGGAAGCCATTGCCCAGTCATCTGCTGAGGAGCCACTGGGACCCGACCAGAAGAAAGCAGGCCGTGCAGCTAGAGCCAAAGTCAAGAGTCTAACGAGTCTACCCCAAACCCCAGGCCCCAGAAACATCCTGGAAACACCCTGTAAACCCTAAGCACTCCTAGCAAACCGACCTTGCTCTCCGCCCCGCGTTTCACGATAGTTGTAAGTGAAGGATGTGTGAAAGAGTTCTCGTGCTTGGAAATGTCTGAGCCAGGCGTGGGTGCCTCCCCCGGAGTCCCCGATGACACGCTCCAAGCGTGGATCTCAGAGCTAGCGGAGAACTGGGGCAAGGGAATTAACAAGTAGGACTGTAGGACCACTTCGGAAAAAGAAAACGAAACTAGAACTTCACGTGTTGGCGGTCAGCCAAGCTTGCACATTCATGCGAGATGCGCCACTGCTGTTAGTCCCCGCTAATCCCGCTAGTGTGTCCTTCGCACTTTCACTTCAACAAATATGCTTTGTTGAAAGTCTTGCCGGGCTTTAGGTGTTGCCCGCACAACATCCATCGAAGGCGCATTGGGAAAACGCTTCGCAGCTTTCGCGCGGATCGTGCAGTGACTCGCTGATGGAGACCCCAGTGCCGAAGGCATGGATAGATCCATTGACATAGGTCAATGTCTAGTCTGTAAGTGCAGTGAGAACGCTGAACAATGCTAAACATGTTGCAGTCTCACCGACCAGTCCTGGAATGGGACGTCCCTAGTGAGGGAAGCATGCCTTGGATGGCAGTAGCCGAGCATAGGAGTGGTGTGGAGGGGTATCAACTGGCATGCATGTGTGTGTGGGTGCATGCACATAGGATGGGTTGAGTATGGGCTTAGCTATGCTTGGCACAGAGCGCCAGCGTGCTAGGAAGCTGTGGTTGCTCTGCCACCCTTGTGTTTCGAAGCTTCCCATAGTTCAGCCCCGGTGGCGGTTGCATATGCTCGCATATTGGGCACTGCGGCACTGCGGCACTGCGGTGCCTTGTGAACCGCCGAAGTAGCCGTACAGTCTTGGCAGCAGCAAAGCTCTGCTTTGAGTCTCTTCGGCTACTGGCCTAAAAAAACCTTGAAACTGCTTTTGACGCCAAGGGGCCGCTCTTTAGCTCCCTCTTGTGAGGTACGATTTTGGCACCTCCCTATGTGCTGTGCTTGGCGGTGCTTTCGCTTGACACTAAGATGGGAGAAGCTGTTGGATGTTGATGCTTGCTGCATGCGCCATTGCTGAGGTCGTCCTTAGACTGGCATCTCGGTTTTCCCTGCACGTCACTGCTTCCTTGAAGCGTCCTGCCTGCAAGCAGCCAGCTCGAGCCACTCAAGTCCGAGCGAAGTCGCAACCAATCTGTGGATCTGGACGATCTCTGCTGGAGTTTCAAGTATCGCGCAATCTAGAACGCCAGATCGTATCGCATCCGTGGTCTAGCAGTGACTCGCCCGGACGACTCTGGAGTTGTGGCTACTGAGTGACTCCTGGCTCCACTTCGCCCGAGGCTTGGCGCGAAGGTGGGCCGGGGCGGTGCCATGAGCATCGGCCACTTCGAGTGAGAACTTGAGAACCCCTTTAGGAGCTAATCGCATCGAGCGGATCCAAAGCCTTTGAGCCTACATCGACCAGCCTTGCACCTCCTTAGGCTACTACCAGTAGCGGAGGAAAGACCTAGGCGCCCCGCGGACGCAGATGAAAAAAGCGGGCGCCTTCGGACTTCCCAGCTCTCCAGCGGCAGTGCTGCTTGTGTGTTGTTCAACTGTTCAACTGTACTGTTACTCCTTTGTGTTGAAAGGCCGTTTTCCTGGCTGTTCAGAACTGGTTGCTCTGAGTTGGTTCTGAGCTGCTCTTTCCCGGTTCTTGGCTTTTTGCGCTTGGGCCAGGCCGGCGCAGCCTGCCGCCAGCGAGGCGTCCAACTTAGGCTGCCCCTCATCTGCTTCGTAAGAGAAATCGAAGTAGTAGAAGGTCTTTCGGAGGGGACTTCAAGAGGTACCGGAGGGCTGCTTTTTTGGGCTTCGCTTCGCCCTTGCATGTCCGCACGATGATTACGTCCATGTTGCCGGCGCCGAAAAGGATTCGATGCACAGCAATGAAACCAACCTTTCAGCACGGTTTAGGGTTTAGGGTTGGGGTTTTAGGGTTAGGGTTTGCTGAAACGGGCTTGGGGTTTGGGGCTTAGCGTTCGGGGTGGTGTCGAAGAACATGTTACCAGTGCGTAGATTCACCAGAGCATCCACGTCCGCACGATTGTTACGGCCGCACGATGATAGCGTACGGCCTGACAACTCTCACCTACGTTGAATAAGCACAGCAACCTCGCCGCAATGCGGGTCTATCACCCTTTTTTTAAGCCCGTGCCAGTAAGCCCGTGCCAGACGGGTCCAGCGCGAGCCTCTTTCGCTCCAGCCACGAACTGAGACCCTAAAACTCAGGGGCCTAAGGTCCTTGAGCTTCAATCCTAGAACCGTTAACCTTTCATTTTCAACCCTAAGCGCAGGGGCTCGGGGGTTAGAGGAGTTGTGGGTTGTGTGGGGGAGGGGAGGGTTGGGGAGGTGCCCATCCCTTATGGTCGGCCCCAAACGCCCTCCAATCCTGAAGCAGCGTCTGCTCCCGGATGCCGGATCCAAGCAAAAGAAATTTGGGTTTAGGGTTTAGGGTTTAGGGTTTAGGGTAAGGTAGCCCCAGATAGGTTGAGTGGTTTTGGCTGCTGGTACTGGTACCTGGCGGTGTCGCAGGTGTCCGGCCTGCAGAGCAAGCTGCCGAGAAAAGGCCAGTTGTGGAGGTGTTCTAGGTTCCAGTCGTCCGAAACAGCTTCCCAGGCCACCCGACATCTTTGATGCGCCGCTGGTCAGTGAGCTTGCGGCGAGCACCGACCCCGTCCGGCCACTCAGCCAGTTCAGCAGCTATAACGCTGCGATGCAGCTTTGGCTTGCGACTTCGCTGGAGCATGGCAAACGTGTCTAGGAACTTCTGTCATCTTCTGTCATACTGAGTCATACAATAGCGCCGGTACGGAAGCTTTGGACCCTACCTTTCTAGCCCTTGCTCGAAATCTCGCGACTGCTGCTGCCAGGGCCGGAGACCCAACAGCAACAAGCGCGTTTTGCGCTCGGCTGCTGTATCGGTTGGCGGGGTCTCTCTCTCTCTCTCTCTGTCTTTCTGTCTTTCTGTCTTTCTGTCTTTCTGTCTTTCTGTCTTTCTGCCTCTCTGCCTCTCTGCCTCTCTGCCTCTCTGCCTCTCTGCCTCTCTGCCTCTCTGCCTCTCTGCCTCTCTGCCTCTCCGCCTCTCGGCCTCTCCGCCTCTCCGCCTCTCCGCCTCTCCGCCTCTCCGCCTCTCCGTCTCTCCGTCTCTCCGTCTTTTAGTCTCTCCGTCACTCCGTCTCTCCGTCTCTCGGTCTCTCGGTCTCTCGGTCTCTCGGTCTCTCGGTCTCTCGGTCTCTCGGTCTCTAGGTCTCTCTCGGTTTCTCGGTGTCTCTCTGTCTCTCTGTCTCTCTGTCTGTCTGTCTCTCTGTCTCTCTGTCTCTGTCTCTCTGTCTCTCTGTCTCTCTGTCTCTCTGTCTCTCTGTCTCTCTGTCTCTCTGTCTCTCTGTCGCTCTGTCTCTCTGTCTCTCTGTCTCTCTGTCTCTCTGTTTCTCTGTCTCTCTGTCTCTCTGTCTCGCTGTTTGGCTGTCTCTGTTTCTCTGTTTCTCTACCTCTCTGTCCCTCTGACTCTCGTGAGTTATCAGGGTCGAGACAAGGTTTCAGGAGTGTACGATCATTCGAATGCAACGTAACTGGGTATCGTTGCGACATGTTGCGACTGTGAACACCTGTAGGGTCTCGCAGTGTCTTGCATGCAAACAATGCTCGGACCACATGCTTGTTTTGCTCGCGGCGTGCCGGGATGTGATGTCGGTCCGGGTTCAGGCAAGGTTTGCTGGTGGTGCACCGATCAACAATTGAACAGCCTCCCAAACCACAAAACGAGAACTCTTGAACTCTGACCACGGGAAAATCGCATCCGAAGGTCAGGTCCCAGGCGCAGACCCTTGAAGGCGACACCTTCGTGGCACAAGGCAGCGCAGGTTTCGGAGTTACGCGAAGGGCCTTTTGCTGGAGTTCTCGGAGTTGATAGACAAGACTCGGTCTTCGCTGCCTTGAATATGGCATGCAGCGATCACACAACGTTCCTTGGGTTCGGGCGAGTCGATGTTCTGATCTCCTGTCGTGATGTGATATGTCTTCATGCATGCCTGTAGCCTGCACTTGGCAAGTCATATCAAGTCATGGTCGTGGGAGACCCTGTATTTAGCGTTCATTTTTGGTTCCGTCATGTCTATTCAAAGTAGAAAAACGAAATGGGGGCAATGGAGTTGCCCCACAAGAGCTCCTTGTGTGGACTCTATACTTTGGCTTCCCAAGACGAGAACGCGCGCAATATGTCGAAGAACTACCGCCGCTGGTGAAAGCAAACAGGCAGCTGCAAGCATCGTTTGACGGCTCGAGCAGCGCTCATGGTTCTACTGCGAAGAAGGTTCAGTACCTCGCAATGAGTTGAGACACATCTTGTCAACACAACACAGCATGTACTTCTGATGATCGCTTTGCAGTTCCTGCATCATCACCGTGGTGACGTGGACCTTAACAAGTTCACGGAAGGGAGCCGCTTCAAGAGGAGCAGTTCCAACATGCCCGAAAGGAACAACATAATACACATACATGCCAGTGCTGAAATAAGCCTGTTCTTTGGTGCAGGGCGAGCTCCAAAGGCCAGGAAGGAGTACAGTGCGTGGACTGAAGGTGAAGAGCCGTGGCCTGAGCTGTAGCTTGGCCGTGTGCGGCGTGGGGTGCTCATGGGATTTCCTGAAGCTTTCGAAGCGAGGCGAAAAGCCAGGGAGCAGACACTTGCAGTGATGGCCCTTGTTACTACCTTGTTCCTGGGCTTACATGCTTTATCTCAAGTTGAAAAACAAACACGCCGGCTCTATGGCTCAGCTTCTTCATGAGTCGAATACCGGTACAGTTCAACCCAACACCTGATCACCACAGCACCGAACTTCCGCATTTGAACCGAACGCTGCGACCACCCTTCGATTCCAGGGGCGCTCTTAATCCTAGAGCTGATGAGAGCTCTGCTCTTCGTGGCTTGGGCAGTCGGAAAGGCAGTGGAGTTCGACAGCCCGCCTGGCTTGTTGACTTCAGTTTCTGTGGTGATGGCGTGCATCTTGCTTGTCAGATCAGTTTGTAGTTCAGGCCTCTATGAATTCACCGACAGCGCGAACTGCAGCCATCTCGGTCCCTGGCACTTCGAGGCGAGAACCTGCAAATTGGAGATGTTGAAAACATGTTCGAATCAACTGCCAGGTCCCTGTTCTGGCAGGACAGCTTGGATTTTATGGCACGAGCGGTGCCTGCCTTAGGGGGAAAGCACTGTAGTGCCCACGAGCACGCCATGAAATGCCAGGTGATCGGGTCCCTGGACCCATGGCTCGCTTCCGCTTGCCCAGGGCTTTGGCCCTCGACGAGCTCGGGCAGAGGCGGGCTCGAGGATCGCCCCGGCCTGGTGAGAAGAAAGGTTTGGCACGTGCGCCAGGTTGTTTGTGTCGGATGCAGCCAACCATGCCATCCGCACCGTGTCCCTCGCAGAAGGCTTTTGCTACTCGAGCTGCCGAGTGTTTTTTCTTGCCGCCTTCAAGACGTCTCTCGACGGTATGAGAGGTGCACGAGAGGGCAATGAGTGCATGGACAGGTGCAGCGAATCACATCTCCACATTTGTCGGTCAGCTGGGCATTCCGGGTAGTAGCGGCGATGGAGGCCTGGCAAGTTTGTAGGTGCTTCAGCTGCTGCCGTGCATACGCAAAGCCCGCAGCACAGCACCTTTCGAGAAGGCCCAGCGCGGGCTGCGCTCCTCCGCGAGCCGAGCGGCTTGGCGCTGGGCGACAATCGCCTCTTCCTCTCCGACCAAGGCAGAATCGCCAGACATTTTCTCTTTGCCGAGATGCCGGGTTTGAAGGCACAGGTGCCTCAAAGTATGCAAAGTATGTGTGTCGCCCGACAGGCAATCATGCAGTGCGAATGGTGGACTTGGCCTCCGGGCCCCTTGGACTCGCTGTTCAGGGTCTCATGGCAAGTTCCTATCTCCTTTTGAAGCACCCAGGATTGTCATGACCATCGCTGGAATTCCAGGGTCCCGCGGCGACGCATCTTGTCGTGCTGGTTGCGTTGTGTGGGATTTTGTATTTGCTCAAACGGATGCATGAAGACAACAAGGTTTCATTTCTGCGTATCGTAAGCTGTTGCACGTTTCTATCGTTAGGGTGGTATGCCTTTACAAGAAAGGTGACAACGATCAACACGAAAACTACCGACCGAATCTCCATGATATAGATTCTGTTTGATGCGGAGCAGGTTACAGTCTATGTTAGAAGACTCTCAGTGTGATACACAATCTGGTTCTAGACCAAGCAAGAGCACCTCTGACACCATTTGCTCCGGCCGACGACTGCAAGATATTGCAGGCAGCGTGGGGAAGCTTAACCATGGCACTTCTCGAATTGGAGCATGAGAAGTTGTATCTCAGGCATTGGACAGAACAGATGTACCTTCGCCACGGACAGCCAAGCAAAGGTAAGACAGTGATGATGAATAGGGAATTGAATGCATGGAAATGCCAAGAGCTCCCTGACTGTACGCCAACACTGAAGCACAAAATGCAGCAATGCACAACTGCCGATTTTGAAGCTGCTCTCGCGCGCGCCAATGGTCTCACTCCAACAGCGCGCAAGAGACTACCACTATGCTAAAAAATGGGGGTTTCCGAAAATAGGGGACCCTTAATTTTGACCTCAAATAGATAACAAAGACCCCATGAAGGCACCCCTACTTTGGGAAACGCCCAAATGGTTTGGGGGGCAGTTGAGGGGAAGCTCAGGCAGGGGACCAGGGCCCGGCGAGCAGCGCGCTGCTCGACTCGCCGGCTGGTTTGGCCCATGCCAACGCCTCGGGCCATCTGCACCTCGGCAGACAACCGGCGCATCGACGTCCGCATGCCTTTCGGCTTGATGCGGTTTGTTTTTTCCTGCGTGGATTCGAGCCCCATGAAGGTACATAGCTGATGGTGGGAACGGCCGCGTGCGGATGCTGGATACCGCGCATCTCGGCTCGAGAAATTTTCTCGCTGCAGGCCTACACATGACAGGCTTATTGTTTTGAAAGGGCGAGCACAACATTGAAGGCGTTGCGCAGAACTGCTGGAAGCAGCATGCCCTGAGGTCTGGGCTGCTGACCGCCGTACCGGGAGCGCACTCTCTTCGGCCCCAGGGCCTGGTTCTGGACGAGGTGAGGCGGCATGTTCAGGGGGCATTTTGGTTCTGCTCAAGGGCATTGGAAATCGTACTGGACTACATAAGGATCTTGGGTTGATGGTTTAGTGTAGCAAAAGCCGTTCAAGTTTCGCATGGCCTGATGTCCTGACCTCCATTCCGAGCTGTCAGGAAAACACAGCCCGAACCCGACGTACTCTAAGCTCGACGGTTCAACATAAGCAGATGTCGGATGGAAGCCCTGGCCTCGGAAAGTGTCGGCTAAGGGACGAACAGATGTGCCCGGAAAAGGGTGTTCCGCATTGCTGTCGCCTGCTTGTCGGTGAAAGAAGACACGGCACTGACAAAGAAGAAAAGTGCAATTAAGTGCAAGCGGTTTCCCGAAATTGAAATAGTGTTTAAAAACACAAGTCCAAGGAGGCAACGAAGAGACAAAAGGAATAGGAGTCCAAAACGGAGTCCAAAAAGGAGTCCAAAATTGAAGTCCAAACACGTGTCCAAGAGTTGGGGAGATCTGGGGCGCGTAACATAGCTTTCGTCATGAAGCACTGGTGAAGAGACGCCTCGCTTTCGCGAGGTGCGACAACTCCTCTACGTCTCTGTACCTTGGCCTGGCAAGAAGCGTGTGCTGAAATAGACTTTCAGGGTTTCCAGGATGCAGGCAAGTACATGGTTGATTTGACTTGCAAGATTTTTTCTTGCTAGCTGAGGACGTTGAGGATCACGTGGTGTACATGGTCGACCTGATGAATGCCACTGCTGCGGCGGAGGTGGTTGTCGGTATTCCAGGCACCTTTTGCACTCATGCACCCCCGGCAGTTCAGCCATCAGTTTTTCTTGGTACGCTGAGTTGGACTGCCAACTGCTCCGTGATTTTGGTCTTTCCACGATCTGGTAGAACCAGGTGTGGTATCGAAGCACCGTTAAGCACTGGTAGCAGCCATGCATAGTAACAGCCCTCTCTGGAATTGCCCAGCGCGTTCAGCATAATTCATCTGCCAGCAGCGTGCTCGTAACAACGCTATGCGCAGGTATGCCAGGAGACTTCGGGGACACGCCGTACAAACGGCCTGCCTTGGAAGCCATTCGGTCAACACAGGTCGTTTGTTTCGTTAGGAAATGATTAGTAGAGTTTCAATCAGTTTGGTGTTTTCGGAGCAAAGTCAGCCGACTGACTCGAAAAGGTGTTGTCGACCGTCCTTTGCGTTGATTCTTTTTCAGTTGCAGGCAGGCCGTCCAGGCAGGCCGTCCAGGCAGGCAGTCCAGGCAGGCCGTCCAGGCTTCATTTGTAGGGTTGACTGATGTTTTGGCTGGTAGCCGAAAGCTGTGTCCACATATTTCCTCCTCGTCGTTGCAACGTCTCCGACAGCCCTTCAGTGCGCTCAGATCACATCACCCTTCTTCCCCTCAACTTTTCCTAGTAAAGTACAGCCCAACACAACGGCGGACCAGGATACCCTCCTAAACCCTAAACGCTTGAACCCTAAACTGCCCTAAACCCGAATCCCTAAGATACCCCCCAACAAATCCTGCACAAAGCCCTGCGAACGAGCCCAGTCCCACCTTCGGCACCCCGACGGCCTGGCGTTGGACCCGGTGGGCCAGCGCCTGCACCGCGGCTGGAGCTCATTTTTTGATATTGTTTGTACTTGGCGAACAGCTCTTTCAATGAATAGGTGTTTAGGGGATGTTATTTACATAACATGCACACAAGTATGCTGCTTGTATATCTCTCACATATACATTACATATATATATATATATGTATATACATAATGAGAATTTACAGGCCTCACCTTTAGATATCTTCCTCTGAGAAATCTTCTGGCCACACTGTAATTAATCCTCTTCTTGGCGTCTTGCATTTAGACTTGCCCAGATAGTTATGTCAAAGTCTGCTCGGGCCTGCCGGTCGCAACAAATCTCATGAGAACATATTCGAAGGTGACCGCCTCAGAAATCTTCATCTGGGCTTCCTTCGTAATTTCATAAACGATTTGATTTCATATAGGAAGCCCACACCCCAAGAAATTCTCATCTGGGCTTCGCTTGCAAGTAGGTCTAGGCAGATTTTTTTTTATTAAGAGACACCCTCAGATATCATTCTTCTTGGAATCATTCGCACATGAATCTACATATAATTCGTGTTTAAAGGCCACACCCTATGAAATCCTTTTCCGGGGTCTCTTGATAAAATACCAGCAGAACTATGTCGACCCAACTAGAACAAACAAAGTCGCAGGCCGCAGCCCAAGACGACCTTTTCTAAGCCTCCTTCATAATCAAATCTAATTGGAACTTCTTGTTCGACCACACCCTCTGAAACCCTCCCCTGGCCCATCTTCGTCATGAAGTTTTGTGATTTTTGTGTCATAAGGCCACACCCATAGACATCTTCATCTGGACTTCGCTTGGAATTCTTTTTAAGGTTTGCCTAGATGGTTTAGGGTTAGGCCATCAGAGCGTCCAGTGATTAATACTTTGAGCCAGCGAGCGATCAGGAATACGCATTTCCTTATCGCTGTAGGTGCCGCGCCCCGCTGTCGTGGTATTTTTTTTTGTCTTGTGGTAAGAGAAGCATGTTTCAATCATGGTTGCATCCCTCGTCGACCCAAGAAATCTGCATCTGGGCATCCTTCATAATTTCTTGAAGGGTTGCATTTTGATATATGAAGCCTACGCCCTGAGGGCTTCGTTCGTAAGAAAATATAGACCGGAGTCTATTTTAAGAGGGTTCACCCCAAGACATCCTCTTCTCAGCCTGATTCGTAAATAAGTCTATCTAGAACTTTAAATTGAAGACCCCCCGGGACAAAATATAGTTGGAGTTGCTTGCAGGAGCTTTCTTGGCAGACCTTTGAGGGCTTTTTCCAAGTTGCAGGCGGTGTAGTTTGTGTTCATCAGGCCTGGTTAAGGTTGACAGAACTTATGGCCGTGGTGCTACGGAGGTAATGGTGATGAGGGGTGAGCGAGATGCTGTGTTGATGCAAGTTGGTACCACATTTTGCTGTGATGATGATGATGATGATGATGATGATGATGATGGTGATCTTGAACGATGAGTTTTTATTTGAGTACAAACAGGGACCCCGCTTCAATAGCAAGCGGCTTTTCTCTAAGAGCATACGTGCTAAGCCGTGAAATCGGCCGGTGTGCAAGGTGAACCACACTGTAGCGCACGCTAGCTGAGGGACGACTCTCACTGCGAAGGAAGAAGGTGATCTTGAACTGGATGTTTGGCACGAACATGGTGCATGATGGTCATGTGCTCACCAGAGATGTCGGACTTTGCAGGATTCGAGCAGGCCTTTTTGTTGCGGTTTCTCCATGCTCGTCCGCCTCTAGCATACTCTCCTCCAAAGCACTGGCCCTTAGGTTTGTTGGAGATTCCACCAGCGCGGTGCGAGTCGTGGACCTCGAGCATCTCGCCTGCAAGAGAAACTTGCCCCTCTATAAGGTGCAAGATTGCACCTCTGTGTCTTGCAAGGCTGGTTCTGTCCTGTTCGGATATATGTTGAATCCGGGTATTGTGGTTTTGCAGGTTTTGCAGGTTTTGGGATCTTCGGGATCTTCTGGCTTCAGGGTCACTGGCTGTTGAAGGTCTGGCATGCTCACCCTGGCGCTCGTCCGCTCCGGCTTCCGGCACGATTCCGGGAACTACGGCCCGATCGGACTGGGACTCTTAAAGCTCTTAAAGCTGCTCAGGGATGTTTAGGCGAAGTGCATCTGCTTGTGCAAGGATGCGCTGCAGGGTGTTCGCATATACATAGACCGCAAGCAGCTTAATTTGCGATGTCCAAGCTTGAGGCTCCAAAGGTGGGGGACGTTTAAGCTTGTAGGACTCGCCATGACCCCGCCGACGGTGCCGGGCTTCCGAGTGGATTCCATCCACCACAATCCCCTGGTAGGCTGGTGCTTTCAAGTGCCGTTTCGTGCGAACCTTCCAGCAAACGCCAACATGTCAGCCTGCTCGGCTTACCTGATTATATCTGGTGGTGCACAACCATAGCCTTGCAGGAACAAGATTCTTCAGATGGGTGGGTGTAGGATGTATGGCACAGGTGGAGCGCACCAATTCGGCAACTACTTCTACTTCAACTCCAGTGTGGGCTACGCTGGTGGCCGGCAGCCTTGGCCAGTCTGCAGATGATGTGCGATGGGGTACGATGTCCTCCCACGCTGAGGCTACAAGAACGCCACCGGCGTCTTGCGCAGCCGACACTATCGGCGTGGTGTGCTGCTGTGGGTGGCCCTCTGAGCTCCCTGATCCCTGCACTTCATTCTTGTTCCGCCGCCCACTTCTGCGCACTTCGGTTCTAATCTATACTGTGTGCACTGATACCTGATACCGGTGCCTCTCGGCGCGCTTCGACTCTCAGGTCGGCTACATTCGCTTCTTTGGCGAACGGTACGGCCGCTGCCCCAAGGGGGCCCCAAGTTCCGGGACCCGCTCAGGATCGCAGGGAGCCCCGTTTCAATTTCGCATGTCAGCTGCCCAAGGTATCGGGCCGACCCGACAGTCGTATCCGCCCAAGCCTTACCTGACCGTCCATGGTGTTGCCACGGAGCTCGTAAGGCTTTCAGTCGCAATCATTTTTTCTTTGCATGGTTGGGATCAGAGGGAACTCGACAACGCTGGCATCCGCTACCCTCCTCCGGCCGGCACCCTGAGTTCAGCGCAGCTCAGCTTGCAGCCTTCAGCCGCCAGTTCGCCTTAGGTGTCCGAGCAGGGGCAGTTTGAGATCAACGATACGATCCTTGTCCCAAGCCTTCTCGGCCCCGAGGCTCTTGAGCCCCGCGTTGCCCCTGTTTTTCTCAAAAGAGAGCTAAACTTGGCAGGAGGAGGCCAGACAGATCATCTACTTGGCGGAGGCTGTGATTTGACAACTGTAACTGATGAAATTGGCCTCTTAGCTTTTCAGCTTCTGCGAAGGGCCACAGCTATGTCGTTCGATCGGCGGACATTGCAGCTCCCGCCAATTCGACATGCTTTTACCTCGGCATTGATGTAATGTAGGCGTTGAGTATTGCTGGCAGACTGCATGGCCGGTGGCTAGGCTGTGCGTTTGGAACGTGTCCTGGCTCAAAAACTCAGGTGGCGACCAAAACGTCACAGAACTGGACCCGATGCTCTGGGAGTTGGCCAGTGCCTGAAAAGCAACCTTGCAGGAAATCGGTTTGGCATGGTCTCGCATGTCGCAATGCTGGTTGAGGTCCCGAGCGAGGTCGGTGGCCCGTGGACAGCTCCTGTGGTGCGTTGAAGCTGGGTGTCAGAGTTTTTTGCTGGCGCGATTGTCCCAATTGTCCCAGAAGAGTGAAATTCTGCAGTTGCATGAGACAAATGAACATCTGTTTCTTTCTCTGTGCCCACACAATATGATCACTGGGATCTCGGTCCAGGTGTTGGATGTTTCACCGGGCTCATGCCAAAGGTGCATGCCAGCTAATGAACCCGCTGCTGGGAGCGTGGAGTTCAGCAGATCGTAGGGAGTTGGAGCTTCAAATATGGCTCTACGACCGCTCAAGATCCGCTGAACTCGAGATGCTCTTTCGCGCTCTGCAGAGCTCTGCAGATTCTCGTTGGGTTTTCCCATGCAAGACATGCTCAACCCTCTCAGGCTCGCTGGGCGCGCAGTGAGATCAGGAAAGAATATTTTCGGTGGGTGAGTTAGTTGAGTGAGTTGCGTTCGCAGAGAGCTGAGTCAGATGATTCGCTCGGCCGTCTGAGGCAGCGCCTCCTGGAGGGTTTCCAGAAATATGGTCGGCTGCCCGATGGGGGGAGATGGGGCACGTTGCACATGTCCGAAACCCTTCATTGCATCCCAGGAAAGCAGTGGAGCATGATATCCAAGTGCTGCGGTTTGTGGTGGCCTTGGCGGCTGCCACTAGTGCTGCTGCTTCTCATGTGGCTCTTCGCTCTATCAGTGGTACACTACTGACAATGTCTGAAAGAGACTCTTGAGTTGGTGTGTTGAGAGTAGAGAGAGACTCTGCGGCGGGTACAGAACCTTTCTAAGGCCACACAGGACCGGCTGCAGCCTGCGTCGAAGTGCCAAGCTGTTGTCCAGTCACCCTCCTGAGCTCCGCTCCGCTGCGGGACACGTGTGCTGCGGGGGCCTCTTTTCCAGAACTTTTTTTGTGCAGGAATGGCGTGCAAATCAAAGACAAGTGGCTCCTTGCGTGCAATTGGACATGCCTGAATTTCAAAAAACAAGCTTGGTGTTGCTGTGGCATTGCTGCATTCCTTTCAACAGCATGGGCTGGAATGGCATCTTCCTTCGAGGCGAGTTCTCAAGAAGAACGGCCTCGTGTCGGGTGCCCCAGTGCTGGGCCAGGGATAACGCTGTGCCAATGTGTTCGCGGCCTGGGCAAAGGCCGGCGAGGGAAGGCAAGGACGAGGAGGAGGAGGAGGACGATGACGACGAGGAGGGCTCGCCTGCAGACTGACTCCTCGGCCCAGCATCACATGTCCAGTCTCCGGCGTGGGAAAGCTACGTCGGGAGTGGCGTTGTAGATTAGATCTGGTGTGGTCTCAACAGGGTTCGCCATTGGCGCTGTTCCCTGCTGCAATGCCAGCAGTGTGGCTAAAGTCGCCACCGCCGCTGGGTGCAGTCTCGTGAAATGCAGAGTTGGGAGATCCAGAATATGCCAGAATCACCTCGAGGTCGCAGTCGCTGTCAACAGGGTGCCCGATTTCGACTTGAAATGTCGCTGAAGCAGGGGCTTCAGTCATGTCGTTTGCGCAGGCAAGTTGACGGTGCGAAGGCTTTCTACACCGAGGTAGGAATTGTTGTGCCCTGCCCTGTTCAGCTGCAGACGAAGAAACAAGCGGCGCGACTTTCGCTCTGGCACTTCCGCACTGTGGCGCTCACAAGGGAGTTGTCATAGTACGCCCGCATCAGACATAAGGGACGTGCAAGCCCAAGCAGATTAGGCAGACTCCGCAAATCTTGAACTTGCAGTTCCTCCCACTTTGATCGAACTTCTATCAGCACCATGCCCTCGCCATCCCCGTCATGTGTTCACGAGCTGAACCAGATCAGCTGTTGCACAGCCATCCTTGTTCTTTCAATTCGGGCCGGTCTCGCATAGATCCAACGTGATGCTCTGCATGGGACGTGGTGCCTGATCCAGTCACTGCAAATCATGGAATGTGCCTGGATCTGCAAGGATGTGAACAGATTGCTCTTGAGTTTCTCAAAAGGCTTTGCCCTTGAAGGGTTCTTGGGTCATGAGCTTTCGAAGCCTGAGGCCTTACCGAGGATCCCACGCGCCTCGGCAGCATGGTTTACACATTCGACTGATGTCTGACGAGCCAGTAGCATCAATAGCAAGCGCCGCCTTGATCCTGTGTGAGAGAAAGATCCCATGGAAGGGATGTCTGCGACATGACGGAGTTGGTTGGGTATCTGGCAGCTCCCTCGGCATTCCATGATCGCTCTGAGAGCAGCTTCAGGTGCCAGATAACTTTGCAAGTGGTCCCATTTTGTCACACGTTCCAGACTAGAGGCGCCGACAAGACCAGAAGACACCCGAGAACCCAAGTCATAAGTTTGAGACGCACCTGCCTGAGGCTGGCATGCTCTGTGGCGTCTTCTTTTGCAGCTGTGCTTCTTGTCTTCATCACGGAGCAAGCCCCAATTCTCGACAGCGAGTGTTCCGGGCATGTCATCACGTGAAGAAAGACATTTGTTGGAAAGACAGAAGGATCCCAGACCTCCGCTCACATTGCCATGTTTTGCCATGGAGGTTTTATCTGGCTGCCTATTTTACTGCCGCTTGGCCTGAGTTTCGCATCGGCTGTTCGCATCGGCCAGAACGCTTCCTTGCAGAAAGGGTATCACCTTCAATAACAACGCTAACAACCAAGCAACTAGACAATTCTGCTCTTTTACTATACTGCCGCACCACTACTACTGATACTAGAGGTACTAGAGGTACTGCGGCAGACGACTTACCACAGCTGACAAACCTCAGGTTTGGGGCAGGGACGGTTCGCTGGGCTTGAAATCTGGCCAATGAGGTTTGCCAAGACTTGCATTTAGTGGGCTGCGGGCTGCGGCCGTCCTAACACGCAACTTAAGGCCGATGGAAGATGCGCAAGCCAGATGTCGGAGCCACAATCTCAGCATCCGTTGCAGGCCGAGGATCCCGAATCTGTGTATTAGTGTGGAAGTCTGAAGAGCGCTGAAGAGCGCTGAATTCTGAAGCCCAAGCCGGGCTAGTCCACGGAATTACCCCGCCCACCCGGCCCTTGGTGTGGGTTTGTTAGATTTTATATCAGCTATTCTCCTCGCCCGGGATTCCTGTCACGAAAGCCAGCTCCTTTGAGAGTGCGGGAGTTTTCGGTTACCAATCAACCACCCACTCTCACTCTTTCACGCACTCTTTCACTCACTCTTTCACTCACTCTGTCACTCACTCTTTCACTCACTCACTCACTCTCTACCCCCCCTCCCCGTGAAGGCTTCACTTGTAAATGATTTTTGGGAGCACATGCCCCACAGAACGCAGCCCAGAAGCTTGCTGGACGCTAGCAGCACATGCAAAGTTAAGCGGGCGCGCACACTTGCAAACTCAGATCGGTAGACGCTCCCCACCACTGGAGTGTTTCTCGGTGACACTCGCCCGCAACCCTAGACTCCAGTGATGTAACAGTGATGTACAAGCTTGCTTGTTGGTACACGCAAGGGTAGGTGGGTGGGGCGTGCGAGGTGTCTCCGTGTGTCTGTCTGTCTCTGTATCTCTGTGTGTCCCTGTGTGTCTCTGTGTGTGTGTAGGTGGGAGTGTATGTGTGAGTGTGTGACTGTGTGACTGTGTGAGTGTGTGAGTGTGTGCGTGTGTGAGTGTGTGCGTGTGCGAGTGTGCGTGTGTGAGTGTGTGAGTGTGTGTGGAGACTTCGAAGTCCTAGCGGAGAACTCGGCAAGGGAATAGTGTGACTGTGTGAGTGTGAGGGTGAGTGTGACTGTGTGTGTGTGTGTGTGAGTGAGTGTGTGTGTGTGTGTGTGTGTGTGAGTGTGTGTGTTTTGTGTGTGTGTGTGTTGTGCAAAGAGCGCGTGTACTGCTTGACTCTAGTCAACGCTGCGAACTTCAGTTTCCTGCCTTTCGCTGCCTTCCCTTCCTGACTGGCTTTACCTTGTTCGGACTCGAGTTGCGTGGCCCTTCGCTTTGAGGCTATCACCATGAAGAACGCAGAAGGCAGGACGCAGGACGAAGCCCCCAAATCCTTTCACAAGCTTTTGGCATTGTTTAGTTATGCATCTCCTTATTACGCCAGAGCAACCTCTGTTTCGCGAGGACGTCAAGTTTCAGATCTGGAAGAGCTCAGTAGGCTGGCAAGTGCAGTCGATGCCCCTTTATGATTCTAGCACACTTGCGGTAAAGAGTCTTCGGCCAGCTGTGGCTGCACCCTGCACCAAAAGTGGTTTGGCTGCCAGGCGCCGCCGAGCAGGCCACAAGTGTTCAAACCGGAGTCACAAAAACGGGGGTTGTTTGTGAAGTTGGATATGAGTGGACTGCTCCGGTTCTCAGTGGTTTTGCGCTTTGGAGGACTCGCTGGGGGACTGATTCAGGGTGCGGGTAGACCTTGTAGACTTCCCGCTTCCCTTCCCACTTCCTTTGGCCGAGACCGGCGCTATGGGGAAGACAGCCTCCTTGAAGTCTGCTTTCAGCAAGAGCAGTGCCTGAGCTGAATGAACTTGGCTACAAGCTGAGCAGTTTGCGTGATAGCGATGGCCTAAACTCACCCCGAAACCATACGAGGAGTACCCTTGAGGCGCTCTGTGGTTTTTCGTGCATTGCCGCACTTGCCCGATGTTTGGTGAGTCGGAAGCATTCGGTTCCTGTCCACAAGCCTAGGTTCCAGGTCCGAGGCCCGACCGGAATTTTTGGCTGTTGACGGCTTCGATTTCTTCAGGCTTCTGTGAGTTGCCCTCGCGTTCTGCCCGTGGGTCTCCAGAGGAGTGGCTTTCGGGGTTAGCACTCCGGAATTTCGGGGCTGCTTTAGTTGAGACTGCGGGGACCTCCCAAGCAAACTGAAGCACCTCGAGAAGAGACCGCCCTAAACATCGGGCTAAGAGGGCTTTGCCTCACTTCTCTCAGCGGAGCCTCATGTCGCTGGCGAGTTGACCTTGCAAAACTAAAAATCAGATATTGGAAGCTGCAGCTTGCCAGTACGGAACACTTCACAGGCTTAAGCCAGACGCTTCTGGCTTCACAACTTGACGTATTGCAAATAACTGAAAATTGGAGAATTTTTGCGTAGACAACACGGGAGCCCTCAGTTTCTAGGGGGCTCGAACATTGAGGAGATCCTGGCCCATGTTCTGCACAAGATTGGATCTTTGCTGGAGCAAAAGTTCTCTTGTAACTTGTGAAAGATCCCTCTTCTCGAAGGCATCCAGTGTTAGGCTCCTAGCAAACCTTCTTGAACAGTGAATAACAGTCCCATTCAGAGCCATGCTCGTCATGCCGGCCGCTCGACTGGTCCGGGCTTGCGTGAGTTTGTGGGGTGGTCTTGGTCCACTGGTCTCTAGTTCACCTGGTCCCATCGTCTGGTGGTCCTCTTCAGTGCTTTCAGAGCTTTCAGGTTTTTTGTCGCTTTTGGGGCTTTTAAGTTTGTTTGTTCAACTTTCGTGGCTTGAGGGTTCGGGGCCTTCTTAAAGGGCCAAGCCAATTAGTTAGTCCCGGAAGAAATCTTTACGAGGCTGCGTGGCAAGCCCCAACAGGGAAAGATTGTGTTCTGGGACAAGTCTGCACTGTTCATGTTAGCTGGACATGCCAGAAGCCGAGAAGGATGCGGGAGAAGGAGGGAGATGTTAGGTGGCAAGCTCAAGCCCTAAACGAGAATTTGGGTGGCTAAGCCCCAAGAGTGCATGTCGATAAGACAGGTGTCTAACATACTGCACAAGGAAGTGGAACAAGACGCGCTGTCACAAGCGTCCATGCCTTTGGCAAACATGCCCAAGACACTGGTATTTACAGCGTTCTTTCTTCCCTACACAACATACCGCGCAAGGATGTTTGACGTTTCTGGAACAAGACGCGTTGTCAAAATCGGGCATCCCTCAAGTCCCTCAAGAAGTTTTGAAATTCGACACTCCTTCAGTCCTCCCGACCCCCAGCGACGCGCAAACAACCGTAATTTAGAATGCAAGCTGCCGGTTTAAGAATGTTCAACCTGTCACGGCGCTGGGGCTTCTGATAGTTGAGGCAACTAACGGGCAGCCCCTTGTTTCTTGTTCAGGCCGCGCAAACTTGCTTTAGAGATCTTCGTGCCGTGAGGACGAGTTCCTTCGAAACACATACAAATCCTGTAGTTCTTCGAGCATGTTGTTTGCAAATGCCGGAGCGCTTGCAAAGACGGAGTGAGACAAAGAAAGAAAGAAAGAAACAAATTCAAATTTGTCTGAACATTGAGGCTGCCTATCCCCCACCACATATTTGTT